AATGCTAAGCAATGGTCTAAACCTCTAGGCCATGCCGCTCGGTCGACCTAATTACGATAAAAGTTGGCATTTATACTAATAATGAGTTACTAGATTCGTAATGACTCCAGTAAGTTCCCTCACTTATGACCTACCAACCCATTCCGCGAACTTAAAAACGTATCGTATCGTATAAGAGAAAATACTTTGTGAGGGTACACTTATTTCCATGTTCGTTTAAACGGCCAAAAATTTCTTCAGTAGTCGTTATCTGACAACAAACTGTTTAAATTTGCTCAATTTCACATGAAATGGTGTCAAAATAATCGTCAAAATATTTAGGCTGCTGTTCATTTCACTCTGAACAAGTTGTTCATCTTCCAATTTATTTCGACATCCGTCGATTTCAAGAAAGGTTTGAGTTTCTAGCGAATTACCCACATCCCCTTTTTTAAAGAAGGTCTTTTTTGTACTGACTATGACGCCTAGAACCTCCGCCATATTGGTTCAGCAGCTCTACCTATTAACTAATTTATTCATTGGCCGATTGACGTAAAACAAAACCAATAATTTCTAATTCCATGTGGAATTATTATTTAACAAACATAATTTGGAGGCTTCTTCATTATCATTATCGATCACTAAATTGTAGCATTTCTGCAGCTTTGCAGCCACCACAGATATTCCTATCATATCAGTATGCATGTCGAACTACCAGAGCTTTTTTTTAATTATTTGAGTAAAATGATGCTTTTGAGGTATCTGAAATTTCTGTTACCCCACGCGTTTTTAATGAAATATTTTAGGGTAAACATTATAAGTGAGGTTAAAACGGCAAATGCGCTTTAGTTGGCATTTTCTATCGGCCATTGAATCCTTTGCTGCCTTCACTTCTCTGACAAAGATTGAAAAGAAAAGCAAAGAACACCTGCTGTTTTCATCGGTAAAAGCGTAACCTTTTCCTTTGTAATTTCTGATGAAAACGTCGCCGTTTTATATTATATAAATTGATCTAGGCACGCCTTCCTTTCCGGAAGAAAATAGTAGGGTAAACAACTCGCAAAAGTAGTTATCGCTTTATTAGATTTGGTTTTGTTTTTCCGCAAAGTGTGTTCCTTTTGAAAAAGAACGTATTATGAAATAAAATAAAAAAGAAATTGAAACAGCAAACAGTTTAACCAATACATGAGAAAAGAATGGAAAATATATACAGGGTCTCCTGGTACCTCTCTATCTTACGGCCAAACCTAAAATTATTTCTCTGCACTAATGTAATGTGCTATTTAGAAGGTACTCACACCTAATTACTTATTGTTTATTTATTACTGTTGTTACCGCTCTTAAATGATCGAGAATGTCTTTTTTAGATTTCTATGTTATTTGTGGCTTTTATTTGTCAATATTTTGTTGTTTAAAAGACGTATAAATTATCCGTAATTATTTACAACACCTTGGCCTACATATGTATATAATCGTCACTGATAATAATCCACAGAAAAAGGTAAATTAGCGCCTTTACACGACATATAAAAGCCTACACATATTCTAGTACGTTTTGTTTTGAGCCATTGAACATTATATTTACCTTTTAATATCATACAAAAGTGTCTTTAACAACGCTTCATCATCGTTGTTGACTTAATAGATCGACGTCGTCCCTTCACGTCCATTTGCAGAATTATCAACTATCCACATCGGGCAACGACAAGTATCATTAAATGTTTCCCTAGAAAGAAACAACGAATGTTACAATTCTAAAAATTAACTAACGTGTACATTCTTGGTTCATGGAAAATATAATTGCAATCAGTTACTACGTAGTAGACTCATTTAATGAAAACGTTTAAAGGTCATTGTTGCATTTTCATGTTTTAATAGCATTTTACATATTATGTTTACATTTATTTACATATATATCAATACAGTTCAAGCCCCTCGGTCAAGAGACCTGAAATTTTGTATAGGTCAAGGCACAGTTTAGACCGCTGAGTCATGAAGTTTGAAATTTTACGCGAGGGTTACAATTGCATCATCTGTTATGAAATGAGTTTTTGCAAAAACACCCTAAAAAGTGTAAAATAGGGTTGGGGATGTAATCGAATTTTACGGAGACAAAGCGGCAGTTAACAGCTAGTTAGAGTACAGTGGAATTCGGGTGTAACGACAACGAATGGATCACTGTAATCTCGTCATTATATCCGGAAGTCGTTACAGGCAAAGGTAAAGAGATAGAGACGCGTATTTATACTTTTCACCATTTTTCAATTGTGAATCGATTTCTGCCTTTTTTTTGATAACAGTTAATGTGCATCTAGGAGTCATATTTAATTTCATAAGTTTACTAAACTCATTTGATACTCAGAATATCACTTTGTAACTGAGCCATTTTAATGTAATCGCTTACCTACTTACTAGTACGTGGCTAACATGTATAAACAAACGGTAAAAGTCACTACATTTGTTGATCATCTGTGTGGATGTAAGATAAAAAGATAAGAAAGCTTTTGTGTCTTTGCCGGCCGAATCCAGACGCTATATCTGCATGGGATTACTAAGCATTTGTTACAAATGATTCATTAAAAACAGTCGTCACACCCGAACTCGGTGTTACATCCGAAGTCGTTATAGCCGCATGAATTTTGTTGTACTAAAGTATACTTTAAATTCAAGGGACTTAGATTTAACGTCGCTATAATAAAATGGTCGCTATACCCAAGGACGTAACAAATGAAATCCACTATACAAGAAGATACTAAAGAAAAGCGGATCTGATGCAGGCGTCTAAACCGTTTGAGGATATAAATGACGTGTAACGAACTATTTTTATTCGTTAAACTTTAAGAAAGTGACATAAGTGGGTGGTAATGTCGTAGGTTTTAGTAAAATTTTCGTTTACATGATGTAACTTGAAGCTTTGATAAAGGAAGTAAATTAGAAGTTCGAAGTGAACTTCTTTATTAGTGGACAAGCTGGTTGTCTCATGACCTGGCTCTATAGCTTTAATTTCCTTGGGGAGTTCCTTATGCGTGCGCCCCTTTTAGTAATATATTCAATTTATATGCCTTTTCCAATTCGTCCGAGTAGGTGTACCACATAAAATAAATGTTCGAGAACTAGACAGTTACGAATACGGCACTCCGAAAAGTGAAATTTGCCTTACTTGGACCAAATCGAAAATTGTTCTAATCATCAAAGTTCGGACATCATATGTTCTTGCAATTGGAGATTTGGTTATTCTTAACCGAAGATATAAAATTAAACATTAAACACCGACAGTGACAGACCAATTTTTGATGAAGTTATAAACTGTGCTCATTTTGGATTGACTGGACTGCTCATTTTCAGGACTGTATTTTTTTCATAGTTATGTTACGCGATTTCTTCGCCTATTATGAACTGATTTTATTGATTTTTTTTGGGTAGGTTGTAAATATGAAAAGGACATATATAAGGGTTAAAAATTGGGTGCACCTACCTATAAAAATACAATTTTAGCACAAAATATACTAATTGTGTGGAATACTTTCAAGGAATAAAGATTTTCATTCTCATCAACAGGATTCAATCGGTTGCAGGCACTGAGTTTCGGTTATTCTGGCTTTAATACGTGACCAATACTTATAGAAACGATCACTGCTACTGGTGAATTATTATTTGTCGATCTATTATTGTTGGCAATAATTAGAAAATCCATCGTTTCGTTATCATAAAAAACACAAAACAGTGGGTTCAACTCATTGTGGCTTTCCAGTCAGGTATACGAGAAATGCTAATTGGATTAGATAAACCTCCTTTGTAAATATTTGAATGGTATGAGATTTTAAGACGCGTTATTCCTGCAATATCAAGAGTAAAAATTTACACGAGACCGTGTGATTTAAGCCGCAAGTTTTCCTTTATTGTTGGCAGAAAATGAACACATAAATACTTATATTGGACAAGTTTAGCGCGCCGACATAGTTAACCATTTGAAAGTTGGAAGAGGGTCAAGTTTAATTTAAAAAAACAAAAATTCCTCCCTGCCATTTACAGGGTACTGGTCTTGGCACTGTCTCTGAATATTTAGGTCTTAGGGTCAACTTGTATTAGAAACGAATCATATCTAAATTAAATCAAATGAATAATAGAACAAAATAGGTTAGGTTAAATTTTCAAATAACCCTCTATCTCTATATTAATATACAAATTTTCGGTTCATTTTGAAATTGGTAATGAAAAAAAGAAGATATTTATTTTGCTTTTGTTGCACCTCCCAGAATATTAACAAAATAAAATAATTCTTATGTTAGTCATCATCATCACAGGTCTTTTTGTCCAAAGGTTTCACATGCACCTTGCCTCCTTGTTACACTGAAATAATCTAATCTAGGTATCATATTATACCTCAGAAAGTATACTACCATCCTATTTACCCTTTTCCTTACCGGTTCCTGTAGTGCCCTTTGTATCCCTACTTTTTTGACATCTAATTTCTAACCAATACTCTCCACGATATTTTCATCGTCATCCGATAACACCAAATCCCAAATGCTTCTAAACCACGACATGACGTCTCAAGAACAAAACAGTAAACTATCAAATTTCAATTGAAGTTATACAAGTTTAGACTTGTTCTTCTATTGTCAAGTGAAAGGGTCAAATTTAATTTTATGAGTCGGGAATAGAAAGATCGCGGGGTGGTTTTAGTTTTTGTGTCGGATCAGTGTTTAAAGTGGAAATAATTGAAGATGATTATTGACAGGCAAGCAGGCGGGCAGCGAGGCATCAACAAGGATGACTAGGACTTAGGACATCGACGACGACAACGACGCTACGGACGCGTCGTAGCAACTTTACGACGCTCGTTGTATCTAACATACAATAATGCAAAGGATTGTAGTAAAATGACAATGAATCGTCGTCGGTCTGGTGGCAGGCATGACACATGCGGGGTGCGGACTGGCTCTTTAGAGGGGTGCGGCGCGTAGGCGGGCCGGGTCGAGAAGACGTCGGGCGCCGGTGTCGGCAGTCGCGAGCCGTCTTCAGCGTAGTTCGTTCGACACCACCGCTGCTGCCGTAGTCAGAGACCAACTTACCACTACCACCAACCACCTCCACCACTTGCTTCTCTTCTTTTAAACCACCCGGACCATTTCTCTCTGCTTCATACTTTATCAACCCTTCGTCGTCTATACTTAGAAAAATACGAGTCTAAATTAATTTTTCGTACTTCCTCCCTGTCCGTTCGCGACGTTCAGTTAATTGCCCTTTTTATAAAAAAAAATTATCTGTAACATTTCCCTGTCGCGTGCATTCTTGGGCATTTCTTTCGCCCCGGCAACAAGTGGAAGCGGTGGAGATACCTGGGGGACTTCTGCAGATGGTATTGTGCAATGATCACTTAAGGATCATAAACGGTAGTAACGTAATCAGGCTCTGAGAAGGAGAGACGTCCAGGACCAAGGTGCATGAGCAGGCGATGTGGGCCGTGCTAGCGGCGGCGATTTGGGTGTGCGCGCTTGCCAACCCCTTGCAGCCGCTGCACCTAGAGCGCGGCTCCTATCGACATCCCCAGGAGTTCGCGGCTTGGAGAAAGCGCGACTCTACCGCCGGCGGACAACAACAACAACAGCAACAGCAAGACCAGCAGGTGTCCATTGGACAAACTGGACTCCCCGGAGCAGAGCAACTAATGCTACGTTCGCCGCGAGGCGGAAGACAGTACGACGTACCCCAAGTTGGTGAGTCTTATTTACCCCTTTTTTAATTTCCTTTTAGAATCTCACTAAGGATCGACCATCTCAGGACTTTTATCATGGATGTACTTAACATTACATTTCTATGTATAAACATCCGCCTGAAGTGTTATTTCAGTTGTTTTACAACTTTGGAAATACATATTTTTGCGTGTTGTATTTTTTGCTTTAAAATGATCATTCTGCTTTCAAATTGCACTCAAAGTTGCGATAACTGCGGTTAATCTGATTATAATATTTTCCAAATCAATTAAACTATCGCATTAAAATAGCAGAATTATATTTAATGAAATAATAATATTTCATCAGTTTTTTTAAAACCACTGGTTATAATATTTCAATTTCCATTTTTGTGGCTTTTCGATTGAGTGAAACGTTGTTAATCGCAATTTTACTGTTTTAAATTATTGAACCGGTTTTTCTGCATTTACCAAATTAATTTATATAACAAAAACTAGTTTTCTCTTGTAACAGTTTAATATAATTATTTGTTTCACTTGAATCATCAGGGTCAATTAAGAATAAAAGTAATTCACTAATTGCCTTCTTCTATTGCGTGAAATGCCTGTATCTAATTTTCGTACATGTGACAACAAAATTATGTACCAGAACTTTCTTTCTTTACATTAAGTGCCTCCCTATCTCAAGAATCGACCAGTACTTTAGGGGTTAATAATAGAACAAAATTATTTTTATTGTCAGTAATTGTATAAAGTAAACTACAAACGACTTGACTGATTTAAATTGCTGATAGATCATCCATTGCACATTGAAAATTCGCTACAAATGACACCGACTCACCGATGCCATATTCAATTCCATTTAAACAGTCGCATGTCACATAATAATTCTCGTGGTAAATTGCCTCGGCTATTTTAAGTCATGTTTAACGTAACTCGACGTTGTTCAATCGTTGTTAAATAATAATAATAAGAAGACTGCGTTTGTTGTTTACAGTTTATTTTTATAGATGGAAAGCAAACTGTTTGTGTTTTCATGGATTTTCAGCAATAATAGGTTTATGGATTTTCTGTCTCCTCATTGACAATTTATTGTCCACAAAGTAATTTCGTTTCTGAAGTTTGGATCTTACAAAATCAGATCTTATCAAAGACACAATCTGTGGATAGAATCGTTGGTAGACAATTTTTAATAAATGGATTCAAACTAAATAAGAACACTGCGCTTAAGTTTCACCGTAATAAGTTTAACACGCTTTTGTATCTCTTCAAACTGATTTAATTCATCAATAATGCCATTTAATGAAGCTTAAACGTGTGTATTATTTAGGGTAGTTGCCCCACTTTTCAGAAAAGCTCTATTATTAAAAAATATGTACTTACAAAGAATAATGCAACATGTATATCGAAACATACGTCTTTGATCTTTTATAACAGCCTATTTATGTAAACATTACACAATGTGGTAATCAACTTTGGCATTAGCATTAATTATCACCATATAATTTGAGATATTTCGTTGACTCCTTTATGTGTTTTATTCTTTGAATGCAAGTGCTAAACCATCTTCTGTCCAGCTTATGTGGCGCAGCTCTACGCCTGGTTTTTGCGTATACTTTTGAGGCATTTTGCTCACCTAGAATGAGCGCATGTAAGACTTAAGTCTTTATTTTATTTAAAAGAAGTTGTAAAAAACACTATTCTTTTTGATACGGATATTTACTATTTAAGTAATAAAAATATTCAATAGAAATTGCTTATAAGGAGAAAATGAAAAAGGAAAATTTACCTAATTATTAAAGCGATATTTACAATTCATCCCACTAGCCCCTTGCTTCGTAAGTGAAAATAATAAAAATTACAATTTGAATCCGAATTTGTAAAAATAAAATCCCAGCAGAAATAAATTTACTAGGTATTTTAGTTGATACTACAAATTAAATTGCAATTATTAAGAAACTTGAAATAATTTTTAAAAAAACGTCAAAATTGAAAGTTACCTAATAAATTCTACTATTTCTACGGTAAATTCAGTCATTTACAATTGAAAATTGTAATTTAATTTTCTCCGTGTACTAGTATAATTTCGACGTCTGTCAGTTTCATGCGCTATTCAGACAACCTACAAGGCATTGGACCCTATGGGAGGGGTACTTTTAATTTTAGTAGGTAAAGGTCTAACGCCACCAACATCCCTAACATAGTGTAACCGGGGCATATATCCCACTGAGGCAACTATTCGGCTTTTATCCTAAAGTTGCCACATTAACAATTAAATTTTGCTTGTAATACAATGAAATTTGCTCATATTTGTTGTTGCTCCGCATATAATGACAATAGTTCATATATTACGTATTCCAACTGTTTTCGAATAAATACATTAGTTTTATTTTTGATTCATATAATGGGATTATTTTCAGAAATTATTCTCTTCTATATATATCCTGCAGGAAAAGACGATTTATACAGATAGAAATCATGTGGATCACGTGTTTCTAGAAAACTTGTTGTTGATGAAACAAATTCATATTTGCTCCCTGGAGAATTTCAAAGAAAATATTTCTGTAACGTGATTGCCTCATGGTGGAAAACTTTCTCGGGTATGGAGAGAAATTTAAAATCGATCCTTACTTTTGTAAATGTGACCTGAAACTTCATTACAAGAAAATTGTGTTCCTTTCTAAACCTTTCTGGTATTAACTTGTATTCGTCTGATGTTTCTGTGTACCCGCATAAGAAAAAGAAGAAAGAAACAATTGGAACTAATAAAAAAAAAACGTTGGAAAGCAGTAACTTGTGTGAAACTGAAACAAAAGGAATTTCATTATTTTGTTTGAAAATCTTTAAAGGCTGCCTTCATTTGTGGAATGCTTTATTATATGAATGAAACTTTATTTATACGAACCAAAACAATGTCAATTTCCACAAGATTATACATATTAAAAGCGCGTAACAATTGTTTCGACCTTTTGAGGTTAGAAATGAAAGGGAAAATTTTACAAACAAATAACTCGGTGATTCAACATTTCCTAAGATTACCTACCCATTAGGAAATTGTGTTTCGTCGATAAACTCAATTATATTAAAGAGATTCACCCCTAATTACAACAACTAGTTTTTAAAGCACGGGCACGTGTTTCGCCTACTGTCAGTGTGGGCATTTATCAACTATATTTCTGGTAGATGATTAGGAATGAGTCTATTTTAATGTAGAAACTAAAACCCTTTTAATAGTTTTCCAGTTTTAATGAGGGGAATGTTTCGTATGATAAGTCCTTTCTGAAAAGTAATATTATTGAAATCTATTTATGTATTAACAATGAGAGACATTTGTAGGGTTAATTTCAATACATTAAAGTGAATTAATTTTAGAATTAATTTTGACCAGTACAGATAATGTCATTGTTAATAACGATTATAAGTTGGTTCGCTGATTCTATGATCTACATAGAATGGTGCGTAAAGCTAGGGACTCGGGTTCGATCCCCGGCGAGAACGTATCAGCAGAAACCATTTTTACTTGTTAGTTTGAGGTTATCTGTGGTAGTAAAAGTTAATTAACTTTAATCTATTCTATTTATGTATATATTTAAACAGGTCTTTCATATATTGATACGTCAACACGCGTGTACTTGTGAACATTAATGGTAATATTTAAATGCTAGCTAATTAAAATTGTTTCTTCCTTACTTGGTCGTTAGTAATATTTGAGAAGTTTCCAATAACGTTAGTTTTTCTGTTTCGTCTATTTTATCAATGCAGTCAGTGTTCATACCGGTACACCTTTTTCCGTCATCTGTGTTCTTTATTTCTGATTCCTATATTTATACATGTTTGTCCTACATAGAACGCGTCACATTCTTTGCAACTAATTTTTCTAGAGTTACATAGAGATAGCTTTAAATAAAATGGAAGCGGTATTGACAAAACAGTACTGTATGAAAATAAATAAAAATAAAACAAAAATACTGGCATGCAAGGGAAGAAAAAGTGGGTAAAGAGCGAATATAAAGATAGGAGACGAAAAATTAGAAGAAGTGGCCGATTTTAGATATCTAGGAAGTCGAATAAGTCAGGACGGAAGGAGTAGTAGGGATGTAAAGCAGAGAGTAGCGCAGGGTCGAGTCGCCTTCAATAAGAAGAAGTCACTTTTAATTTAGAAATTCGAAAAAGGTTGTTAAAGGTGTATGTTTGGAGCACGGCGCTGTACGGGGGCGAAATATGGACAGTGGCCGCGGCGGAAAAGAAAAGGTTAGAAGCGTTCGAAATGTGGTGTTACAGGCGAATAATGAGGATATCGTTGATAGAGAATGAGTAGGAGAACAGAGGACTGTATGGAAGCCAGTAAGGAATAGGCCTTCTCAGGCATGAAGGTCTAGTCAGAGACACATTAGAGGCAGAAACGAAAGTTAGGAGGGGTAGAGGTAGACCCAGAATAGATTACTATTCGCAGATAGTTAAGGATAAGGGTTGTTCTAATTTTAGGGAAATGCGAAGATTAGCTCAGGATAGGAAAGAGTGGAGGCATGTGTTTAACCAGTTTTAGGACTGACGACCTTATGATCCCCGATAGCCACTCGTGATGATCATGAATGGATCAGACGATTTTGAAAACAAATTTGGATCAAATTTGAAACATATGTTCTACATTNATCGTTATCAAGAACCTTAATGTATTACGGTAGTAGATTTATTATTACTGCAAGTATACTGTGTTTTTACGGCTAGTTCTAACGCTATTGATCGGTTTTTCTGTATGTTCCTTAATAAAGTCAATAGAGTTTATGGTTGTTTTTAACGCGCTTCACATAAACAGTCCCAGACTTAACAATTTGCATTTGTTAAAACGGTTACTATTATTATTAACTCCTTGCATTTACTAAATGAATCCTTATACATTGGATCAGATTTGCTGTTAGTAGTTTTGATTTCATTAAAGTTTATAATACCCTCCTAAATGGATTCAGTTTATTCGTCATTTTATTTTTATGTGAACAATAAAATTCCTGTTCTCTCTGTGACTAA